AAAATATTAATAAATTAAATAAATTTTAAATAAATAAATAAATAAAAAAAAAAAAAAAAAAAAAAAAAAAAAAAAAATAACCTATTTGAACCTAAATAAGTTCGTGAATTTCGAACTGAACATAACTTCATGTTCAAGTCTGGTTCAGGTTCAGACTTCAACCGTTCAGGTTTGGAATTGCATAAATGTTATGATTCAGATTAGGTTCAAGTTCAGAAGTTCAACTGAACCCGAACAACCCGAACTGAACCTAGAAGCCCTAGACTAACTAGTGCAATCAAAACAAGCTACAAAATACTAGCTTTTAATCTCTAATTCAAAAATTTTGAAAAAAACAAAAAGTTAAAATTAGAATATAGCAAATCATTTATAAGTACTATTAGAATAATCAGAAGAATTACACTTTTGATAACTATATATATTATATAATAGAATTTAGTAAAAAGCATTTAAATCTTAATTCTTAAATAAGAAAAATCATAATCTAACTACCAAATATTAAAAAAAAAAAAATTATTAAAATATTATTATAATAAATAATTTATTTACAATATATTCATTTCATATATTATATAATTAATATATTGTATAATTATTTTTATTATATTTTAATAATAAAGTTATTTGCTTATCTTTTTTTGATTATAACAAATAAATTATTATAAAATCTAATTTGCCTAGTTTATATATAACGATTAAAATTATGATACTTAGAACGATCTTTTTTGCGTATAAGATTGAATTCGATATCGGAAATATACATGACAAGTTTAAAAAGCGAGCATTAATAAAATAAATAAAATAAATAATTTTATTTCCATAGCATACCACTATAAATTTTGTAACTTTGCTAATCCTATAGTAGTTGTGCTTATAAATTATCTATTTTTCAATAAATAAATGCTATATTAGTTTACTCGTTTTCTGATAAAACTTCATCTCATTGTTACCTATTAAAAAAAAAAAAAGAGAGAACACAATTAAAACTATGATAAAGAATTTGTTATAAATTTCAGACAAAATATTACCAATTCTTCTCCAGCAGTAGGGTGTATTGCAACTGTATTGTCAAAGTCTGCTTTCTTAGCACCCATCTTAACAGCTACAGCGAACCCTTGTAACTAGAAATAAATAAAATATAATAATGAATTTCGGATAAAATTTAAATGTAACAAAAACAACATAAGTGCATAATTACAATTTCAGCCGAGTCTCTTCCAACGATATGAACGCCAACAACTTTTTCTTCTTCACCAACTACGACGAGTTTATATGCTGTTGCGGGTTCTATTTAAGATTAAAATATTGTTAATTTTTGACATATAAAAATAAGAGTTAATTTTATTAAAAGAATACTTTGTTCAGTCATGGCATAATACAAATTTACGAATTTAGAAGTGTAAGTTTTGACATTTTCATCTCCAAACTTCTTTCGTGCATCAGGTTCTGTCAAACCAACAGCGCCACAAGTACCATGAAATATAACAGTTGGAATATTGTTATAATCGAGTTTATATTTGTTAAATTCTGGAGGGCCAAAAACACGATCAGATAATCGTCTCCCCGCAGCAATAGCAACTAAAAAATTCAAAAAATAAAAAACAAAAATGAGAACAAATTAACACAAAAAAATATATTTCTATAATTCCCATAACGCTCTTACCGGGTGTTAACTGTGCCACACCACAAACATCACCTAGAGCATATATATTTTCGACGGTGGTATTTTGATATTCATCACTAATGATATACCCTTTTTCGTTTAATTGAACGCCAATATTTTCCAAATTTAGTCCTTTAATATTTGGACTCCTTCCAATGGCCCACAGAACAACATCATATTCTTCTACTACATCGTCTGTTTCTTTTGAGGTAAGATTAACTTTGATAGGACCACAATTTGAGTCACGTGATAGAGATTGTACATTGGCATACGTTAGAACACGTATACCCTCTTTTTTCGATTGTTCAAGGAGCGTGTCCTTAATAATTGGATCGAATGAACGCAAAAGTTCAGCCGAACGGGTAATTAAGGTCGTATTTGACCCTGCAGGTGTATTTATAACAAACAACAAACATTGATATTTCATAATTAAAAGGGTTAAAAAAAAAAAAAAAAAACAAACAAAAAAAAAGTACCTAAGGAGTTAAATATTCCGGCAAGCTCAACTCCAATATATCCTGTACCAACGACAATAACATTTTTAGGCTGTTCTTCAAGATCAAAAAAACCATCACTCGTAATACCCAATTCGAAGCCAGGAGTTTCATGCGGTAGGATAGGACTACCACCTATTGGTAAATTCGTTAATAGGAAATTGAATAATTTAAATATAAAATGAGGATTGAAAAACAATTTTACCAGTAGCAATTAAAATTTTTTTCGCTTCTATTTCTTCAGATTGTCCATTGTGTTCTACTCTTAACACATTTTTGGATACGAAACTTGCCTTTCCTTGAATATATTCAACATTATCCTTGGCAAGATTATTAAGATAAATACCATTAAGACGCTTAATGTATGCATCACGTTTTTGTTTTAGGAAATTCCAATTGAATTTAGGAATCGAAGATAGATCAAAACCATATTGTTCCGCATCATGTAAAGCTTCAGCGATAGAAGCTAAGATATTTGGAATTTAAAACGTTAGCAAAATGAACGACGCAATTTTGACAAACGTATGTCTTTTTCAGTCTTACCAGTATTAAACATAACCTTTTTAGGGACGCAACCAACGTTAACACAAGTTCCACCTAGTCGACCACTTGATTCTATCAATCCAACCTTAAAACCATACGAACCGGCGCGCCTGGCCGAGGCCAAACCACCACTACCTCCGCCAATAACAAGATAGTCATAATGATTACTTTTTGCGATAGGAGGCATAGTTGAAAGTGTTTTTGAGAATTGAGAGGTAAATTTTTTAGTAGATACGAGTGGATCTTTAAATTCTATTAATGTTCTTGAAATTTCTGAACAACGTGAAATAAATCGAAGCATTAAAAAAAATTAATTAAAATTAGAATAGTGACATAATATCTTGGTCAGTCACTTTCCTTATTTATATTACTTATACCTGAATTAACGATACCGAGTTTAGCAGGATATCTCGCATATGATACTTGCAATCTTGTATTTTGGTATGATGAAAAGTATAAATAAATTATTACAATAAATAAAGCTATATGAATTAATTTTTTAAAGCTTTCTGTACACATTTTTATAAATGATTCTTTCATAAATGGTTAATGTTAAATTTACAATTATATACTTTTTTAATATCGCTTTGTCACGTAAATATAATTTATCTTTTTGAAATTTGATATCAAATAAAGATATATTTTTTTGATCTTTTCATCAATATTTTCACTCTTTCAGTTCTGCATTGACACTGGAAACTTTACAATTACAAAATCTCAGATTCTTTGAATTACATGAATGTTTTCATGTGATTTGAATTAGTCCCAACTAAAACTTCTAAATTAACGGTCAATTCTACATTTACTGAGTCAAGTCGACTTGTATACGGGTCTTTTGCTAACAAGCTAAAATTCAAATGCTTATTTAATAATTAACATATCAGATATAGCGAATAGGATTGTAAAATTACCGTAATTTTACGTAACTTTTGTGCAATTATCATGTGACAATGCATTATTTAATGTAAAGTTACATTACAGTTTCGTAAGTTACATCTTGCGTTTTAG